ACCGTTAAAAAAAAGTCTTAGAATTTAAGAAAATCGATCATTAATACATATCACATGTTTATTGAAAGAGTTCAGTGTTTATGGCATATGAAGTCATTCATATAATCTCGTTCATCAAGGCTCCTGTCAAACAGCTGTCTGGGTAAAAGGGTGAGATGGATGGATGGTTTTTGAAACACTCAAACTTTCCAAAGAAAGAACACAATTGAGAGTGCTGAAAATGAATTTCCAACAGCAAATGAAGAGCACTAAAGATGCTAGTGTGTTCAACCCAAACACAGTGTTACTTATTTACAATATGAATATGCATACATACTGTATAATTACATTGTAAAGAACTTTGAAATCAGTGGGTCATATCATTAATGAAGTAGTAACTCTCTGGACAGAGAAGAGTTTAATTCTATAATGTAAATAATTGAAATAAGTCATAAATTACTAATATTATTAAATATGTATGCTTTCAAGGCCAAATGAATTTCAATATATAATGATTTAGGAAAATAAATATAAGCATCCTAAAATCTTGAATCTGCATTAAGACATCAGCACAAAAAAAATACGAAACAAAACAATAAACTCTTATAGAGTGCGTTGTTTTATCACAAAGATTTAAGAAAAATGAGCTGAATCACAGAGAGATCTGTTCTCAACTCCAATAAACCAAAATCTAATTTACAGAGTTTTATAATACAAACATGACAACACATCTTTTAGAGCTACAAATGATATAAACATCTATTTACTTAAAAATATTGTAGGAAAGAAGCTATATTTTAGTACAACAATTATAAATCCAGAGTATAGAATAAAGAAGGCAATCAAAGCTACAGTGCAAATGCCTCTTAAACAGAAAGCTACTCGGATACATTTACAGTACCGAATGTTATTAGAAACAGCACAGAAATCTATGAAAATGCAAAATCCTTCCAATAACACACCTGAAAAATAACTAAATGGTTCTGATGCTTCAGATCAAGACCCCAGAAAACATTCCTATCTTTGAAACAACCTGAACTCTTTCAGTGCAGGGCAATCTAAAAAGTTACATTATACATTAACAACATGTCATTTAATGGCTCTACTGTCTTTGGGAAATAAGTCCGCTAACTGAAATGTTGGTTCCGGTTCCTGTTGTGTACCACTAACCAGATTAATGCTCAGCCATGACAGAGCAATACTGAACCTAGCTGTGGAGTCAGGGCTACGGTGAATGCTCCAGATACACTTACAGGCAGGGATGAATCTGGAGACAGACACCAGCCCATGCATCTTTAAATCCTCATCGTATTCATTTAACATTCAGCATTGTCAAACTAGAAAAGCAAGCTTGATGAGTGCATTAACATATGCATTCTGTCTCATACATACAAACTCTAAGATGTTTTGCCAGTGCAATGAAATGAAAGACATTAAGTCCAACAGGTCATTCAGAGAAAGATGATGAAAGCTTGGGACCTCTTCAGAGACAGTAAAGTGTGCAACCATCTTCCCTCTCCGGGAATGTATCACCCCCCCTGCAGTCCAGAGAGCCTAAGACGGGTTTAGCGATACATTTTTGGTTACTGTTATTTTGGCACAAAAAGGAGGACACCGGTTGAGGTGAAGGGTGAGAGGTTAAAGGTCAAACTGCAGTCTCCTGGTCTTCACGCTGGATCATTTGGTAGTGCTGGCGGTTCTCGAGATACGCCGCAAGTTCTGCATCTTTCGCCTTCTCGGCACGATGTTTTGGAGTGTCGCCCTGGAAATGAAGAGACATGTTAAGTCCAAACATAACAAATGCTGGAGAGATATATATATATATATATATATATATAATTGACAATTTATCATTAAACTGTTCTCTGTTCCATTGAGACTCCAATTACAAATACAAACACAAGCTGAAGTTCAAGAACACGCTTCGTGAACTGAAGCAAAATACACAGAGAACCTCTATGGTTGCTCCAGGCCCTAATTAGGGACCGTTTCTTTCAGACAAAGTCTTCATGAACAATGAGGAAGGGAAATCAAAGATTGCACTGAGCCTCTAATGGTAAACATGTTGTCTCAGAAACGCCTCTCTTTATCCATGTTGCTGGTGCCAGCATTGCTCAACAGTAATTGTTGTTAACTGCAGGCAGGCCTGGTGCAGAGAGTCTGAGAGAAAGGCCTGAACTGTTCCTGTTGAACAGAGCTCGGAGCACTCAAACTGCCCGCCAGGCTCTTTCATTGTTGCGGCACAGATGAAGCCGCCTTTGTTCAGGAGTGTACAGTACGACCGGACACCAGCACCTTTTCATACTGCGCAACTTCCAGCGCGGTGCTGCATCCCTCCATTTTCAGCCTTTCAGATGCAAACAAAGGCAGTTCTGGAAAAGCTGTCAAAAGCTACAGAGTCACAATGGAGAATATTAGCCATGATGAACTAAAAGAGACGAGTTACACAGGAGGAAAAAAAGCTTTGTGGTTAAGAGACTGATCCCTGCAGGGCATGCCGAACAGAAATATAATCACAGTTTTATAGTGCTTTTAAAAACCAGCATTCATCCTCGTACAAGTCACAAAGGAGAGAGGGGGAAAACACACACACACACACACACACACACACACACAGTGGTGGCCAAAATTATTAGAACACTAGTATTTTCACCAGGTAAAATATGGTTTTCTTTTGCTGTAGTGTGCGATTCATGCCGAACAGAAATATAATCACAGTTTTATAGTGCTTTTAAAAACCAGCATTCATCCTCGTACAAGTCACAAAGGAGAGAGGGGGAAAAATGATGGAAAGGATAATGGAGATGCTTATTATATAAAGACAAAGACAGATGGATAGCATGTAAAAGAAAAACAGAGGGAGGGAGTCAGAAAGGAGGAGTGTGCTTCATCACAGGGCAATGAACGATGAGTCACTCTATCCTGGATTTGATGTTTTCTGGATTGAATGAAACCAAGAGTGCAGGATCCTTAGATTTGATGGAAACAGAGGGAAAGCAGAGCAGAAAAGTGCTGATGGAGCTGTTAATCGCAACAGACCACAGTCCAGGAAAATGGCACCGCTAAATCAGGTCTTGTTCAGATTGAGTCTGTCAGGAGCACAGGAGTACAGTCTCCCTGAAGAGGGAAGATGAAAATCATGGGATATCCTCTGAAGAGAAAAATCTTCATCTTGGTATGCTCTCAGACCGTGTCAGCCCGGTGACTTTACACATTTCATCTCCCTCAACAGCACATGAGTTACTGATAATTACACAGATAGAACTGAAGGCTGTCAGACAGACTGGAGTCCATCGGCACCCAGGAGACTCAATCAGTGCCGTCTCACACATTTATCAGATGGGAGCTGGGAAAGGTCCGTTAGACTGCTGTGAGCTTTAGAGGAGACGGTTACACTGAGGCCCAGTGGTGCAAAAGTACAAAACTACAGGAAGAAAAAGAGTGCGTAAGTGATAGAAAGTACTGCTGAGAGTTCTAACCACAAATGAGATTTCTGTGCTTTGTGGAAAATCATTCCCTCACAGATCTCTTCAAATAAGTAGCTTTTAAATTGATGTTTCTTCTGAAAAGACGAGAGGCAGTAATTAGAGACTAGTGTGTCTACAGCTGTGTGTAATTTTGCGGTACACCAAGCAGAAGTGCTGCAGGAGATCTTGAGTCACTTGGCTGGATGTGTGGAGGCGAGCGGGGGAGAGGGTGGGCTGCTGGGGACATTTACAAACATTCATTTTGCCATTAATTGTAATAATCCTGTGAGATTTTTGTTTGCACAAAGAGCCTGTCAACAGCCAGTGCTCCACACAGAGATCTGATCTGATCATAATCAGTTTGTCTGAAAAAACATGAAGAAACAGAACATACTGAGACAGACTCAATCCAGAAG